GTTATGATTTAATAAATAAAAGAAAAAAAAAGAAGCTAAGCAAAGAAATTTTAGACTTAACCATTCAACAATTAGATTTAACAGACATCACCAGAACATTTCATCCTAACAAAACTAAATACACGTTCTTCTCATCAGCCCATGGAACATCCTCCTAAACTGATCACATATTAGGTCACAAGTCTAACCTTACCAAATTTAAAAGAACAGAAATCATTCCTTGCATCTTCTCAGACCATCATGGAATAAAAGTTGAACTCAGTAACAACGGGAATCTGAAGATTCATACAGAAACATGGAAACTAAATAACCTTATGCTAAATGAGCGCTGGGTCATAGATGAGATTAAGAAGGAAATTACCAAATTTTTGAAATAAAAAGATAATGAAGATACAAGTTATCAGAACCTCTGGGGTATTGCAAAGGCAGTCCTAAGAGGGAAATCTATACATTGGAAGACTTCCTCAAGAGAACGGAAAGGGAAGAAGTTAACAACTTAATGGGACATCTCAAGCAACTGGAAAAGGAAGAACATTCCAATCCCAAACCCAGCAGAAGAAAACAAATAACCAAAATTAGAGCAGAATTAAATGAAACTGAAAACAAAAGGATTATACAGCAGATCAATAAATCAAAAGGTTATTTTTTTGAAAAGGTCAATAAAATAGACAAAATTTGGCTAGGCAAACCAGAAAAAAAAGTAAAATCTATAATTTCATCAATCAGAAATGGTAAAGATGAAATAACAACATACCCCCTGGAAATTCAAAAAATCCTTAAAGAATATTAAAAAAGAAACTCTATTCTCTGAAATGCGAAAATCTGAAGGAAATAGACCAATATTTGGAAGCACACCACCTTCCTAGACTTAGCCAGAATGAAGTGGAAAAGTTGAACAGGCCAATATTCACTTCTTAAATAGCATCAACTATACAAAATCTCCATAAAAAGAAAAGCCTGGGACCAGATGGCTTCACATCAGAATTCTACCAAACCTTTAAAGAGGAATTAGTACCTATAT